ATATAGAATCATTAGAATTCATAGATAGGGTTTAAGCCATAGGAACCACTGATGTGCCGAGCGTTGGTATCGTTGGTATTCCTGATTTAAAATAAAAATTAACCGCCAATCACCATCAATAGGTTATACACAAGTATATAACTTTATTATTAAATAAAAGTAATATATTTTATTTCGGTAATCATTTTTAAATAAATCGGAATAAAACGAAATTCAATGTACATAAAAATTCGTGATATAAATGCAAAGCCTGAGGAAAATGATATTTTTATTGATATCTCCAAAACCTCCAAAATCGAACAGATTAAGAAAAAAATTGAAGAAGAACGGGGAATTAAAATAAATTGTCAAAGACTGTTATATAAAGGAAAGCAGGTATTTTAGCGACAATTATTTACGTGATCAAGTTGTAATTGTACAGAATTTTCAGCTAGAAAACGATTTACGTGTTTTTGATTATGATGTACAATTAAACGATGTTATTCAACTTGTTATAAGATCAGAGGAGCATATTAACAAAAGCACTGATAACAAAAAAAAGGAAGAAGGCCCATCTAATTCAACTGACATTGTAAGGGAAGAAAGGAAAAAAGTAGACAGCAAATATTTTAAAGTAGGTGATTTGGTAGATGCACATGATCCAGAATACACAGCATGGTTTGAAGGTATACTCGTTGCTGTGTGGGAAAACAATGTAGGTTTACAATCAACATTAAATAATGAGGATGTTCTTTTTCAAATTAAGCTAGAGTAAGTGTATATATTTTGTTTGTACAGAAATCGTGATAATAAGTTTATTATTTTTTTTTTTTAGAAACTTTGAACATTTTGCTGACCTAGAAGTAGAATTTAAAGATATCAGACCTAGATCTTATTACACCTACAAGAGGTCAGAGCTAAAGAAAGGAATGAAGGTGCTAGTTAATTATAATATTGATGCACCTGACAAGAGAGGCTTTTGGTAAATTAATGAAAATGAAACATTTTTAAGTTTATTTACAATTTAAACATTGCTCCTAAGGTACAATTGCATACTGACCAATGTAGCAAAAGAAGAAATTAAAGGAAACATTCTTGTTGGTGGAGAACAGGCAGCAATAAATGACTGTGTAATTAAGTTTCCAGATGAAATTATGAGAATAGAAACAAGTTGTTTATTAACAGAAAAGAAAACTCAGGACTTCAAAGTGGCGCCCTTAAGTGAGTAAATTTCCCTCATTTGATTGTCAATGTATCTGAATACAATTGTTAAAATTTATTTCAGGAAAATACAATTACAGATGTATAAATTGCAAAGATAACAAGAAAAGAAAATGCAAAGAGTGTGGATGTCGTATTTGTGGTTTGAAAAACAATCCTGAACTTATAATTCTATGTGATGAATGCAACTATGGCC